CTTGTTAATATCCACCACCACAGTGTTACACACTTTTTTTCCCTTATGAGAACTTGTAACAATTTTCCTCTTAGCAATTTTCAGATATTCAACACAGTATTATTAACTATATTACTATAGTTCATAATATCAACACATGCTATTATTAGCTACAGTCACCATGATGTATATTATGTCCTCATGAATTATTTTATAACTGAAAATGTTGACCTTTTCCTAACCCAACCCCCTCTGCCTCTGGCAGCCACCAGAGTATTCTCTGTATCTATGAGTTTGATTTTTTCAAACTTTCCACACATAAGTGAGATCATACGGTGTTTGTCTCTCTGTCTGATTTACTTCACTTATAATGCCTTCATGGTCATCCATGTTGTTGCAAATGACAGGTTTTCCTTTTTTATGACAGAATAATATTCCATTGCACATGGACCATTTCTTCACCCACTCATTTATGGATGGGCACTGAGGATGCTTCCACATCTTGGCTATTGCAGAAGATGCCAAAGTGAACATGGGCGGACATACATCTCTTCAAGTTCGTGTTTTCATTTCTCCCAAATAATTACCCAGAAGTGGTGTTGCTGGGTCCTGTGGCAGCTTTATTTATAATTTTTGAGGAACTGCCATACTGATTTACTAGTACATAGTGGCTGCCCCAATTTACATTCCCACAGTGCAAGGGGGTTCCCCTTTCTGAACATTCTTGCCAACACTTATTATTTCTTGTCTTTTTTATATCCCAGCTTGAGATTTGCTACATGGTTCAGTGATAGGAATTGTGGGGCACAGCCATGGAAATTGTGCTTTCTTTAGTCCTCTGTTTGCACTGGACAATCTTCATTGTAATACGTGAGGAGTCTCGGTGGGTGGTCATTGTAATACATGCGTGGGTGGAGCTGGTTACCTCTTCTTCATCTGCATCCAAAGCAGGGGAAGACCTGGTTTTGTGGAGCTTGATAGTTGTACAAATGTTGAGATCACTGCTTCAAAACTAATACACAATGTGGCGCACATGAATTTTTCTGAAATGAGAATACACATCATGTCACAAAGCTACAATTCTGAAAACCAAAAATTAGACAATTCCGAAAAATTACAGACCTTTTTTATTAGCAGTATGACATACCTTTCTACAACACCTGCATAACGCGCTCCCCACATTTTTTTGACTTATACATTTGATGGACTCTTTATAGGACAATAATCCTGTCATGTACTAATACGTGTTAATATCATACTAAGAAACATTATTAATTGTTATAATAGTATATGTATATAGTATAGAGAATAGAAAGAGAATTCTGTGTGTCCTCAGCATGGTTGAGAGAAATTTCTTTTTCTTCTGTACAGTTTAAGGAACTTACTTCCATTGCACAACTTGTTACTGGGAATGTCTGAAGTGTTTCACATCATTGTCATATTTGGGAAAACATTGATCAAGTTTCTTTCATAAAAGAGCAGTAGGATTGCAGGTTATGTCCACACATCACTCGAGCCCCTGCTGGGCTTTGAAAAGGGACTGAGCACATTGAGGGGCCCTGAAGGTGGAGCTTCCACACTTTTTTTCCCTTATGAGAACTTGTAACAATTTTCCTCTTAGCAATTTTCAGATATTCAACACAGTATTATTAACTATATTACTATAGTTCATAATATCAACACATGCTATTATTAGCTACAGTCACCATGATGTATATTATGTCCTCATGAATTATTTTATAACTGAAAATGTTGACCTTTTCCTAACCCAACCCCCTCTGCCTCTGGCAGCCACCAGAGTATTCTCTGTATCTATGAGTTTGATTTTTTCAAACTTTCCACACATAAGTGAGATCATACGGTGTTTGTCTCTCTGTCTGATTTACTTCACTTATAATGCCTTCATGGTCATCCATGTTGTTGCAAATGACAGGTTTTCCTTTTTTATGACAGAATAATATTCCATTGCACATGGACCATTTCTTCACCCACTCATTTATGGATGGGCGCTGAGGATGCTTCCGCATCTTGGCTATTGCAGAAGATGCCAAAGTGGACATGGGCGTACATGCGTCTCTTCAAGTTCGTGTTTTCATTTCTCCCAAATAATTACCCAGAAGTGGTGTTGCTGGGTCCTGTGGCAGCTTTATTTATAATTTTTGAGGAACTGCCATACTGATTTACTAGTACATAGTGGCTGCCCCAATTTACATTCCCACAGTGCAAGGGGGTTCCCCTTTCTGAACATTCTTGCCAACACTTATTATTTCTTGTCTTTTTTATATCCCAGCTTGAGATTTGCTACATGGTTCAGTGATAGGAATTGTGGGGCACAGCCATGGAAATTGTGCTTTCTTTAGTCCTCTGTTTGCACTGGACAATCTTCATTGTAATACGTGAGGAGTCTCGGTGGGTGGTCATTGTAATACATGCGTGGATGGAGCTGGTTACCTCTTCTTCATCTGCATCCAAAGCAGGGGAAGACCTGGTTTTGTGGAGCTTGATAGTTGTACAAATGTTGAGATCACTGCTTCAAAACTAATACACAATGTGGCGCACATGAATTTTTCTGAAATGAGAATACACATCATGTCACAAAGCTACAATTCTGAAAACCAAAAATTAGACAATTCCGAAAAATTACAGACCTTTTTTATTAGCAGTATGACATACCTTTCTACAACACCTGCATAACGCGCTCCCCACATTTTTTTGACTTATACATTTGATGGACTCTTTATAGGACAATAATCCTGTCATGTACTAATATGTGTTAATATCATACTAAGAAACATTATTAATTGTTATAATAGTATATGTATATAGTATAGAGAATAGAAAGAGAATTCTGTGTGTCCTCAGCATGGTTGAGAGAAATTTCTTTTTCTTCTGTACAGTTTAAGGAACTTACTTCCATTGCACAACTTGTTACTGGGAATGTCTGAAGTGTTTCACATCATTGTCATATTTGGGAAAACATTGATCAAGTTTCTTTCTTTCATAAAAGAGCAGTAGGATTGCAGGTTATGTCCACACATCACTCGAGCCCCTGCTGGACTTTGAAAAGGGACTGAGCACGTTGAGGGGCCCTGAAGGTGGAGCTTCCGGAGCTGTAAGGTGGCAAATTTGCTGTCGTGAGGAGGTCCAACCTCTGAGGCTCCCCCTGAAGGGGTGCGATCTGCCTTCACACATCCCGTTCTGATGGGGCCTGTGCGCTGTCGCTGTCCCTCAGACCCTGGGAGACCCACATTTGTGCTTCCCGTGTGCCCCAAAAGGCATCAGCTTTTCCCCTGGGTTCCACCCTCCATGAGAGTTGAGTCTAAATTCCTTCTTTCCAGCATTTGAGTGATGTGAAGAAATTTTAAAATTACCCTTTTACACAATGGTTTCAGCTGGAGGGTGGATCCCCTGAGTCACCAGGACCTGTGATGACCACCGTGTCCCCCTGGGGGACCACCCTCTCGACTTACACCTCATCTGTAAGGGAGTCACTTTCAGATTCACATCTGGACATGCCTCTCAACCTCTGGGGGCCTCAGTATATTTACCTGCAGGCTCAGGAGGGGGGAGGGGAGATAGGAAGATTTCTCAGCCACCACACCCCCCAACTACTGTGTAGGCGAAGTTCCCTTTCCAGGACTATCCACAGTCTCTCCCCCTGGGCTTCCTGTTGGGGCATCCTCAGCCCCACCCCAGAGCTGGCACTTTGCTCCCTGACACAGGGACGCGGACCTGCTCTGTGCTGAGAGAGGCAGACATGGTGCCCCTGTTGCTGCTGCTCCTGCTGTGGGGAGGTGAGTGGGCCCGAGGAGGGGAGGTGAGTGGGCCCAGGGAGGGGGGTTGAGGAAGTGGGAGAGGGATGGGGCTGCCTCTGAGCCTCTGTGTCCCCCTCCCAGAATCTCTGGAGGAGCAGCCAGGCTTCGAGCTCCGAGTGCAGGAATCCGTGACGGTGCAGGAGGGTCTGTGCGTCCACGTGCCCTCCAGGAGGAGTGACGCAACAATATACGTCTTCCGAATGGAGAGAGAAAGTATGAAATATACTTACAAAGAGAAGATGCTGAATTTGCAGGTGACAGGTAAGGCAGGGGCCCCGGAGAGAACTCTGAGATGTGGAACTTGGTCTTGGAATAAGACAGGACACTGGGTCAGTCACTGTCCAGGCCGTGGGCCCTGGGTGGTGGGAAGAGACACAGGGCCTGGGTGAGCTCAGCCTGAGGCAGGGCCTCTCTCAGGGTCCCGCTCTGAGTCCCCACCCCTGGAGTCCAGGCACCTGCCTTTCTCCTGCAGCCCTGACAGAGAAACCCCACATCCGAATAAGGGAGCCCCTGGAGTCCGGCCGCCCCACAAAAGAGGACAGCATATGGCACAATCTACCTGTGGCTTCGAATGACCCAAATAAACCAACAAAGGGAGAAACCCAAGGCCGTTTCCTCCTCCCGGACTCCAGGAACAACAACTGTTCCCTGCACATCAGAGATGCCAGGAGGAGTGACGCAACAATATACGTCTTCCGAATGGAGAGAGAAAGTATGAAATATACTTACAAAGAGAAGATGCTGAATTTGCAGGTGACAGGTAAGGCAGGGGCCCCGGAGAGAACTCTGAGATGTGGAACTTGGTCTTGGAATAAGACAGGACACTGGGTCAGTCACTGTCCAGGCCGTGGGCCCTGGGTGGTGGGAAGAGACACAGGGCCTGGGTGAGCTCAGCCTGAGGCAGGGCCTCTCTCAGGGTCCCGCTCTGAGTCCCCACCCCTGGAGTCCAGGCACCTGCCTTTCTCCTGCAGCCCTGACAGAGAAACCCCACATCCGAATAAGGGAGCCCCTGGAGTCCGGCCGCCCCACACAGCTGGCCTGCAGCCTGCCAGGGGCCTGCAAAGGGGGACGACCTCTCACCTTCTCCTGGGAGGGAGCCGCTGTGGGCTCGCTGGACCCCCAGAACTGCAGCTCCTCAGAGCTCACCTTCACCCCGAGGCCCGGGGACCATGGCACCAACCTCACCTGTCAGGTGAAACGGTGACACAGGAATATACATCTTCCGAATGGAGAGAGGAAGTGTGAAATATAATTACCAAGACAAGATGCTGAATTTGCAGGTGACAGGTAAGGCAGGGGCCCCGGAGAGAAGTCTGAGATGTGGCACTCAGTCTTGGAACAGGAACAGGACACTGGACACTCCCTGTCCAGGCCGTGGGCCCTGGGTGGTGGAAGAGACACAGGGCCTGGGTGAGTTCGGGCTCCGAGGCAGGGCCTCTCTCAGTGTCCCACTTCCTGCAGCCCAGGCACCTGCCTTTCTCCCCCGCAGCCCTGACAGAGAAACCCCACATCCGTGTACGGGAGCCTCTGGAGTCTGGCCGCCCCACACAGCTGGCCTGCAGCCTGCCAGGGGCCTGCGAAGGGGGACGACCACTCACCTTCTCCTGGGCGGGAGCCGCTGTGGACTCGCTGGACCCCCAGAACCGCAGCTCCTCGGTGCTCACCTTCACCCCGAGGCCTGGGGACCATGGCACCAACCTCACCTGTCAGGTGAAACGGGAAGGGTCCCAGTGGACCACACAGAGAACCATCCAGCTCAATGTCTCCTGTGAGTGTTGGAGGGGTGGCTGGGTCTGTGTTGGTAATGGCACTGGCGAGTGTGTGTGTGTGTGTGTGTGTGTGTGCAGGAGGCTGAGCTATCCTGAGAACACTCATGCATGGATCTGCATGTAGGTGGGGAGGGGGCCAGAAGGACAGCTCTCCCCCCTTCCCAGTTCCCTCCTTGGCGTTAGGGGTGTCTTCCATCCCACTCCTCCCCTCTGAACTGGGGCCATATTTTTCTATCCCAGATGCCCCACAGAACCTCACCCTAGGCATCACCTTCAGAAACGCCACAGCTAGGCCTGGCCAGTGTGGCTCAGAAGTTGAGCTTCAACCCAGGAACCAAGAGGTCACAGGTTAGAATCTGAATCAGGGCACATGCCTGGGTGGCAGGCTCTATCCCCAGTCGGGGGCATTAAGGAGGCAGCCTATTGATGTTTCTCATCCATCTTTCCATCCCTCTATCCCTGTCCCTTCATCTCTCTCTCTCTCTAAAAATCAATAAAATCATTTTTTCAAAGAAATGTCACAGATAGTAAAGAACCTCGCCTCTCTGGGCTGGGACCTGCCCCTCCGGACCATAGTGGAGCAGAGGGCGGAATCTGAGTTTGAATGGGATCAGACTTGGGAAGGGCAAGGACTAAAATTATCATGCTTCCTCATTTACATCCTGTTGGTGGGTGCCTGTACCTGAGTTCCCCCTACCCCTACCCCTACCCCTACTGGTCTTCCTCTCCCTCTCCTTGTCTTCATTTCTCTACCCAAAGCCCTCAAGATTCTGCAGGCCACTTCCCTTTCCATCCTGGAGGGAGAGGCCTTGAGGCTGCTCTGTGTGGCTGACAGCAACCCCCCTGCCGAGCTGAGCTGGTTCCGGGGGTCCCCAGGCCTGAACGCCACCCCCCTCTCCAGCACCGCGATCCTGGAGCTGCCTCGCGTGGGGCCTGCACAGGAAGGAGAGTTCACCTGCCAAGCTCGGCACCCGCTGGGCTCCCACAGCGTCTCTCTCAGCCTCTCCGTGGTCTGTGAGTGGTGAGACCCCGGGGGGCAGGACAGCTGGGTTCTGGGGAGATTAGAGGCACCGCTGACCCTTCTCCTCGCTCCCCACAGACCCCCCGCAGCTGCTGGGACCCTCCTGCTCCTGGGAGGACCAGGGTCTGCACTGCAGCTGCTCCTCCAGGGCCCAGCCGGCCCCCTCCCTGCGCTGGCGGCTGGGGGCGGGGCTGCTGGAGGGGAACCATGGCAACGCCTCCCAC